TGTGCCACACGCACACGACAGAGTTCTCACTAATAGACAGGAAAGCATGCAGTGCGCTGGGGATCAGAACTCAGCGAGGTCACGGTCACCCTAATCTAACCTCGTGCCTAATCTAAATGCTCCCTGCTTCCAATATATCTTTTCAGGAGGCCTTTCCATACCCTCCAGAATTGGTTAGAGTTTGGGTCATAGGGTCCTCTAGGACCCAATCTTCTTACTTAACATTTGCAACAATTGCAATTATGTGGTCATGCTTTTAAAAAAAATTGATTTCAGAGAGAGGAAGGGAGAGGGAGAGAGAGATAGAAACATCAATAATGGGAGAGAAACATCAATGATGAGAGAGACAATCATTGATTGGCTGCCTCCTGCACACCCCCACACTGGGGATCGAGCCTACAGCCTGGGCCTGGGCCCTGACCAGGAATCAAACCGTGACCTCCTGGTTCATAAGTCGATGCTCAACCACGCAGCCACGCCGGCTGGACAGTCGTGCCATTTTTTAATTCTTAGCACCTCACACAGTGTGTGATGGATTGAAAATGCTGACGAGGTATTGAAAGAAAACAAGATGAATGCAGCTGGCAGAGAACCAGGGGGCTTTCCTGCAGGAGATGACCTGGGGCCTGGCCAGGGACAGTGACTCAGGCAGGATGGGCCAGGTCAGGCTGCCGCCACAACACCCTCTGATCCCCAGGGCAGACGGTTTCTTTCTTCCCCAGGTCCCAGGTCCTTCTGGGGTCAGCGGGGACTCTGCCCAGGTTTCCTCCCTTCAGGTCCCGGCGGATGGAGCCCCCGCCATGCCATCCGAGTGTGGCTAGGTCAGTGATGGCGAACCTTTTGAGCTCGGCGTGTCAGCATTTTGAAAAACCCTAACTTAACTCTGGTGCCGTGTCACATATAGAAATTTTTTGATATTTGCAACCATAGTAAAACAAAGATGTATATTTTTGATATTTATTTTATATATTTAAATGCCATTTAACAAAGAAAAATCAACCAAAAAAATGAGTTCGCGTGTCACCTCTGACACGCGTGTCAGAGGTTCGCCATCACTGGGCTAGTGGCTGTGGCAGGCTCGAGGAGTGTGGGGTGAATGACAGGCTGGCTGTTCACGTTCCCATCCGGACGTGACACAGATCACCCCCACTCCCCATTCATGGTCAATGCAAGTCCCGCAGATATGCCTCCCCTTAGGAGGAGGGGCGGGCAGCGAGGAGCTGGGGTGGGTGGCCTGCGAGCCTGGGGCTGCCCTGAGGAGTGAGATCTCTGTAGGTGAAGGAGGTGTGGAGGGCTTTCTAGAAGGAGAACAAAGCCTGGCCAGAGATTCAGCAGTGAAGGCGTGAGGGTGTATTCAAGGGAAAGCGGTGAGTAACCCGGTGACTGGGCGGAGAGGAGTCTGGACACGTGCGAGGCCATCTCCATGGCCACACGGGAGGGCGTGGGCAACTTGGCGGGCGACAGGAGCAATGGCAGGTGTAGTCGGGCAGGACCTGTGAGCGCGGTGGTTCAAGGTGACAGCCAAGCATGGATGGGGAGAATTGGAGAGGGCCGCTGAGAAAATGGGGCAGCCTGCTGGGGGCCAGGCAAGGGCTGCGGGAGCAGGCCAGTAAGTAGGTCCCTCTGTGGATGTGCTACAAAGATTTGTTCAATACGTATTAACCAGCCCGGCGCATGGCTCAGTGGCTGAGCATTGACCTATGAACCAGGAGATCACGGTTCGATTCCCGGTCAGGGCACAGGCCCGGGTTGCGGGCTCCATCCCGTGTGAGGTGTGCAGGGGCCAGCTGATCAATGACTCTCTCTCATCATTGATGTTTCTCTCTCTCTCTCTCTCCTTCTCCCTTCCTCTCTGAAATCAAGTAAAAATACATTAAAAACAAACAAACAAAGTTTGATGGTTCCACTCACCCACGTCCTCCGTGGGCACGTGGAGGAGGTGGATGCACAGAGAGGTGGGGTAGCCGCCGAGGGGACCACAGCCCCCAGGTGCTGAAATAGATGTTCTTCCCCCTGAACTCCAGCTGCCCCTCGTGTCTCCCTCCGCCCGGCGTACTCACACATTCCGAGGAAGAGGGTTGGGAATCGCTGACCCCTCTGGTCCTTTCAGGTCAAACATCCTAAGACAGAAGCAGAGGTGTTGCTAAATAAAAATTTCTGGGGGACATTGGTCCAGAAAACTCAGTCTCACCTGTGGTGGATTTGCAGCACATGCACATGTACTAAGCGATCTAATTCCATTGCTGACCAGTGAGAATGAAGTAATTAAACAGCTCAGTGCAACTGCGCCTGCATCGGGCTCCAAGAGCTTTCGATGCCTCCACCGGCCTGGGCTGGGGACCTGAGGTATGGGCGCCTCTCAGTTCCCAGGGTGGGGGGGCCACTCCATTGAGTGAGCATCCTACACCTGGGTGTGCACCCAGGGTTGCCCCGAAGCCAGTCTTTCCTGGAGCATCTCCACACAAAGATGGGGGCATGCAGCACTAGGTGGGAGAAGCCACAATCCATCCCAACGGGAAGAAGCTGGCTGGGCGGGGCCTAGGGGAGGGCGTGTGGGGTCCGAGGGCACCGTCCATAGCACTTTTCCAAGCTGATTTGGACTCTGCAAGGGTCCCCTTTTCACCTGGGTTTTATTTTATATTATTATTATTTTTTAATTCTCACCCAAGGATATTTTCCCATTGATTTTTAGAGAGAGTGGAAGGGAGGGGGAGAGACATAGAGAGACACATCGATTGTTTGCCTCCTGCATGCGCCCCAACCAGGGCCGGGGATCAAGCCTGCAACCAAGGTACATGCCCTTGACTGGAATCGAACCGGGGACCCTTTGGTCCACAGGCCACCGCTCTATCCACTGAGCCAAACCGGCTGGGGCTACCCTGGTTTTAGAAAATCCTCCTTCACTGTTTTAATTCTTTTCTCCTCCCCGTGCTCCTGGAACCACCCCTCCCCCCCTTACCCCTAAGTTCTCTGCTCATTGTCTTTTGGAAATCTGGGGCTCCTCAGCACAAACACAGACTCCCATTGGGCAACTTGGGGGCCCCTGGCTGCAGTTCTGTGCGTGCTCTGCCCCAGAGACTTCCTCAAAAGGGCAGGAAATGACCTCGCCAGGCAGAGCGCCCTGCGCCAGCCCCCACACGGGGTTTGCACGCGTTCCTGAAGGAGTAGGCGTTTGAACTCCACGCTCTGTACCTTGGGCAGGTAGCAACCCACAGGTGCTCAAGACATGGTTGCTGGAAGCCCAAGCAGTGGAGGTCAGTGCGATGGATGAATGTGAGGGGGTACGAGCACGCTGCTAGAGAGATGGCTAGGCATGGGAGGGTCTGTAGACAGCAGGTGGCTGTGGAGGAGGCACGCTTCCCGTCACCGCCCTGCCCCCAGGTCCTGCATGGCGCCTGGCCAGCGTGGGTGCCCATCCAGTTCCCGAGTGAAGCGGCGTGGCGGCCCTTTCTGTGAGTGGGGCATTGAGAACCAGGCTCTCGGCTGTGCCCAGGAAGGACAGGACTTTGCCTTTTAGGTGTTTTTCCCAGTGGCTGAGCACAGAGCCTGGCTCAGCAGAGGCTCCATAAATATTTGTGGAGCCCTAGCTGGTTTGGCTCAGTGGATAGAGCATTGGACTGCGGACTGGAAGGCCCCAGGTTCGATTCTGGTCAAGGGCACATGCTCAGGTTGTGGGCTTGATCCCCAGTAGGGGGGCGTGCAGGAGGCAGCCGATCAGTGATTCTCATCATTGATGTTTCTACCTCTCTCTCCCTCTCCCTTCCTCTCTGAGATCAAGAAACGTATATTAAAAAAATATTTGTGGAATGAATGACAGGGAAAGTAGATGTCAGGGCCCAGGGAGGTAATGGGGCGCCCAGGGGAGAGCCAAGTCCCCAGCTCTGAGCAGAGGGAGGAGGTTCCCAAATGCCAGAGGAGGGTGGGTGGTGAGGGCACAGGAGCCTGCACATGCCAGGCGAGCAGGGGGCTGGGGACAAGGACTGTTGGTGACATCCCTTTCCTCTTCAATGATGTTCCTCCAGCGCCGTGTCTCTCCCCAGGGCTGCACATTAGAATGACCTGGGGAGCTTTTAAAACACCCCCAATGCCTGCTCTGCACTCCCTGAGGCGCTCCCCTTCCTACCTTGTTAAAGAAGATCCGCTGGGGATTCCAGTATGTGGTGCAGGTTGAGCACACAGAGGCAGCTGTTAAACAACAACCCCGCAGAGGCGGGCTAAGGCTGGAAAGGTGCTGGAGAAGTTCCAGGAACCAGGAGAGGAGCCTTGAGACTTCCCAGCCAGGCTGGGGGGAAGGGGAGAAGGCCTTGGGGGCAGAGGGGCAGGTGGGTTTAGAAGGGGAGGCGGAGAGGAAGGGGCTGGCCAGGCAGTAGGATGGGGCGGGCAGGAGGGGTGAGATGACATGGGATGGAGGATTTCAGCGGAGAGCTGATGCAACAAGGAGGGGCCTGGAGTGAGAATGGCAGGGCGCTGGTGGGGGCGGGGAGCACAGGAGGCAGCAGGGCAGGAAAGCCGCCACGTGGGGCTTGGGAGCTGAGACCTGGAAGAAGTCCGGGAGTCGCCCCAAAGGGATGTCAGCGGGTAGCGCGACGGGACTCAGAAGAAGGAACTCTGAGGCCGAGATGGGGGCCACTCTGTCACACAGGGACACACGGAAGTCCACATGCACATACATGAGCGCGCACACGCACAAGCACACAAACGCATCCCCGTGCACGTACGCCCGCTGCAATCGGAGAGGTCCCGGCCTTGCGGGAGAGGGAGGGGACGGCAGAGCCAGAGGTCCCGCCCCGCCCCGCCGCGCCCCTGCTCGGGCTTGCGCAACAGGCGGCGGATCCGGCGGGCGCTGGCCGAGCTGCCGGAGCGGAGCCGAGGTGGGCGCGGGCGCGAGCGGGAGGAGCGGCCGGGAGCCGAGCGCGGGCGAGGGGTGTGTCCCCGCCGCGAGGGGCCCGGGCGGGGCGGGGCGGGGCGAGGCGCGGGGCGGGGCCCCGGCGCCTATAAAATCTCCCTCCTCCGGGACATAAACAAACCTCGCCTGGCTCTCCGCTTGGTCTCCGGAGTGCGCGCACGCCCATCCTCGCTGTTCCTCTCCGTTCTCGCCTGGCACCGCCAGCCTCGCTCCAGCGCCTGTTGCCTCTCCCTCTCCCTTGGGTAAGCCCATGCCCTCCTCTCGCCGGGCAGAGGGGGTCTGTCGCCTGTGGGCGCTGCTGCAGCCCCTGGACCGAGCTTTGTGGTCCCAGGAGCTGCGAGTGCGCGGCGACCCCGGGCGCGGGTGTGTGGAGGGCTGTGGGGTGCGCGCACCTCAGGAGCGGGAGGCTTCGACTAGGGAAGAGGAGGAAAAAAGACGAGTCCCCGCGCTTCTTTCCTGTAGCTGCGGATGCGGGGTCCTGGGGGTCGGGGAGAGCCGGCGGGGAACACCTGGATCCCCCTTCCCAAGGTTCTCCCAGAACCACCGCTGGCCGCGCTGAAGTGGGAGCAGGAGGAGAGCCTGGGGGGTGTGAACGCGTGTGTGTGGAGGGGGCTGTGGGGGTCGAGGCTGTGTCGCTGGAGAGGGGTGTCTGGGGAAGGAGGGATTGCGCGCGCGTGTGTAGAAAGGAGGTGGGTAGACGCTGGAGATGAGGCTGGAGAAGGGGTGTGGCTGTGTCTGGTTCCCAAACTGACTGAGCCGGAAAGGATATGTCTCTGCAAAACGGGGGCCGATTTAGCCTGGACGCCAGGGTGGTGTGTGTGTGTGTGTGTGTGTGTGTGTGTGTGTGTGTGTGTGAGAGGGAGAGAGAGAGAGAGAGAGAGAGAGAGAGAGAGAGAGAGAGAGAAAGAGAACAAGGTGTGTCACAGCTCCCACAACATGCGCAGGAGCCAGTGTGTGCGTGCGCTGCTGGGCAGGGTGCGCCCCCAGAGGTGGCCGGGGTTGGCGCTCTGGCTGCGGTGATAGGTGACCTGGCCCGGAGGGGTCCTGCGGGCCCCTGGTGGCCCTGCGCCCGCTGGGTTATGAATGGCGTCATTTTCGCCTCCACCCACCCTCCCCCGCTTTCCTCCTTGTCCCTGCCTGGCCTGCCCGGCCTGCTCTCCAGGGGAGAGAACAGCTGGAATGGCTCGGCCATCCCGGGAGCGCCTCCGCGGTCTCTGATTCAGCCCTGGGCAGGGCGTGCGCAGCGTGGTGGGGTCAGGGGAGAGGCACCGTCCCCGCCTCTGTCAAATGAGTAGCTGAAGCTGGGTTTAGTGGCTGGTTCTCTTAACCCACCCCCCACCCCATCCCTCTACCCTCACCCCCAACATACAAGCTCCCCCCGCCCGCCCAATTCTGCTGTCTGTCGCCTCTGCCTCTGTTGTCAGACACCCCTGCGGGCAGCGGCAGCCCCCATCTGTGGCGGGGGAGGGGGAGGTGCCTGGCAGCCGGTGTGGGGCAGAGGTTATCATGGCCAAGACCAGCTCTTCACAGATGTCCTGGGCACTTGAGGTTGTTGGGTGCCATTAGGTTCCTGGGAAAGATGGAATGTTCTAAGACAGTGGTTCTCAACCTCCTGGCCCTTTAAATACAGTTCCTCATGTTGTGACCCAACCATAAAATTATTTTTGTTGCTACTTCATAACTGTAATGTTGCTACTGTTAGGAATCGTCATGTAAATATCTGATATGCAGGATGGTCTTAGGCGACCCCTGTGAAAGGGCCAAAGGGGTCGCGACCCACAGGTTGAGAACCGCTGTTCTAAGAGAACCCGGCCGGTGGCCAAGGGGAGGGCTTCAGTCCCCTCGTACCACCCACCCGCCGTACCAGGCTTCTCAGCCACCTCGAAGGAACAAACGTCTAAATGCAAACCTTCGTGCTATGAAAACCCGGTTTCAGGGCACACCGTCCAGCTCCGCCTGCTCCTGTTGGCGTCTTTACTGAGTTTCCCGAAGGCGAATAGAAATAAGCAAGGCACAGAGAGAGCAAGCCCAGAGCCTGCCAGCAAGGGGCTCACCAGCCAGGGGAGAAGTGGGGGAGGCACAGACCACAGGCCTGGGTGCCCAGGGCTGGGGTGGCACAGGCTGGGGACGGGGTAGGCAGAGTCAGGAATTGTGAGACACCTCCAGAGGAACAGGGATCTGGTATCAGGAGCGAGAGCCGGGGTGCCCCTGACCTGTGACCTCCAGGATGAGCTGCAGGAGGGTGAGGAGGAAGGCTGTGCCGGCCGCGCCCCGTCACCTGGCGCCTGGCCCAGGGCCTGGCACGGGGGAGGAGCTCGGGCACTGGATGCCCAGGTGGTCTCCGCAGACAGGACAGCACAGGGTTTGGCTTCTCCTGGGGCAGCCGGCAAGGCCAGGTCTGCCGGCCGTTGCTTGGATCACTTGGAATGGATGGAGCTACACATTCGCACACCTGGCTGGTCCCCCCTCTTCCCGTTTTACAGTTGGGGACTGAGGCCCAGGGACAGGGAGCAACTCGCCAAGGCCCAGGTAGCACTGGAACCCGCCTCTCCAGACCCCGCTCCTGTGGGGATTGGAGGGATTGGAGATGCTATCAGAGGGTAGAAGTCAATCGATCTCGAGGAGTTTCTGGTGAGGAAACGTCCTGGACAGTATGCGGGCGGGTTTCGTGTGTTTACGTGTGTTTAGTGTACAGCAGGTGTTCTTGAGTCACGAACAGAAGCAGTCTGGCGAGAAAGAGCGCTGCATGCCTCCCTCCTCCCTCCTCCCTCCTCCCTCCTCCCTCCTCCCTCCTCCCTCGCTACCGCCCAGGGGTGGCTGCTGGGTTCAGGCTGCCCCCTCCAGGTTGGACTGAAGATCTGATCTGAGCTGGGGCCCCTGGGGTGCCTGGAACCTCCCGGCCTGAACTGCCTTGGTGTGGATGGGAAGGAAGGGTTCCATTGTGCTTCTCTGATGGGACCCAGCTCCAGGGAACCCCATCCAAGGCATGACTCAAGTTCCCTGAGCCTCCCAAAGGAAGCCAGGGCGATGACTCAGCATCTAAGATTCCAGTGGGAGGGGTCAGGGGAGGGGCAGGACATCTCTCTCCAGGTCAGCTGCCACATCCCCTCACCCCTAACATCCTCGAAACAGCTCTGGTTCTGCCTCAGCCGCGTTGGCTCCACTGAATGGATGAGCAAACTGAGGCCAGGGCTTTGAAGGGACTCGCCTGTAGCCACGGGGCTCAGAGTGGGAGAGCCAGGCTTTGAACCCAGAGAGTCAGACTTGAAAACCGGTGTTCTTTTCCCTGACACGTTGGGGTGATTGGAGAGCTGCCGGGGTGAGAGGCGTAGACAGGCAATTAGGGGCTCAGTGCCTCAGTTTCTTCCCCTGGAAAATGAGAATCATACCCTTGGCCTCATGAGGACGTGTAGTATTAACTAAGTTAATTCATGTTCAAGAGTTGAGAATAGGGCTCAGTCTGTGGGAACACCACGTAGGTTTCTGCCAGTAATTCGCACACATGACCTTCTCAAGGCATCTCCTCGGCCGGCCGTCAGGGCTAGGGACCTGGGGTCCTGGTTCATTGCAAGCTGCCCTTCCTGCCTCCTGGTCTCAGTCTGGTCCCGAGCCTGCCCCTCCTATTTGTCCCTTCTCTCTGCAGCTGACGACAGGGACTGCTGTGTGTCAGGCTCTGTTGCAGACCCGAGGATGAGTTCTCGAACGCTGCCCGGCCTCCCACTGGGCCGGCGCAGGCTTGCTGAAGGGGGTGTGCACAGAGGAGGGGGGGGCTTGGGTGCCAGTGGAGCCCAATGATGCTCCGGGTGGGTGTCCTGCGAGGAGAGACCTGGACCCCTGGGTGCCTGTGTTGGCAACACGGAATGGAACAGATTACAGAATTCGGGGCCACCGGCAGGTCTGTGTGGGATCCGGTCTTTGACTTTCCTTCCTGACAATTCCTGCCCACCCCGCCCACCTCTGGGGACCCTTCTGGAGACTTACAGCTTCAGGGGGCGTTCCTCCAACTGAGGTGGGAGCAAAGGAGACTCCGTAGCCGTCTGGAATGCCCCTGCGAGAGTTCATCCACTTTATACTCCCGCCTCCTTAAGGCGGTGGAGACCTCTAAACAAGTCTCACATGTACACCCAGGGGCAGCTCCGCTTACAGAGGTGGTGGGGACCGGGCTTTCATCCTGTTGCCCCATCCTGAGCCCGGCTCCACCCCATTGGCTTTGAGAAGGTTCTAGGCAGCCCCTCTGAGTGTGGGTACAAGAGGCATTCTTGAGGATGAGGTCTTTGTAAGGCTCCAGCCCGGGACCCTCACCCTGCCCCCGTCCACGCCATCGCCCGGCTCCCTGCTCTCTCCAGACGCTGTCTGTCCTGCAGGCGGGGTTGGGCGCCCTCCGGGTCCCCATGTTGCCCTCCTTGGACCATTCTGGACTGTGTTTCTCTCCTCACCCCCTGGGGCCCGAGGGCCTGGCGCTGAGCAGGCACTCCGGGTGGGTCAGAAGGAAACCTCCATTCGAGAAGGAGAGGCCTCAGGCCACAGTGTTAGGAAAGGTCCGAATGCCCCCCGGATGGAGGGTGGAAGGGCCGTGGCGGGGAGGGCACTGTCGCCGTGGCGAGCATCCCATCTCGGGTCACAGGGTTTGTAGGAAGAATCTGGTTCCACTTCCTCCGCGAACACTGGCCCCGTTTGTGTGCGTTCAACACACTACCTCCCGGGCCGTCCAGCGAGCTCAGCCTTGTCCCCCAGATTTGCAGAAAAACCCTGTAGCCTGACCCGTGGCCTCGGCTTCTGGTTATTACACGCGTCCCCTCAGACCAGGGGCGGGGAGGGCCATTGGGATGTTTATAACTTCATTCGCAGGCCATACAAAATGATCCCCTTAAAAAGCAGCCTGCGATATTTGGTCAAACATCGCATTAACTCACCCCTAGTGCCTTGGCAGGGCCAGACCACATGGTTTCGTGGGCCTTATGTGGCTGGCTGGTTGGACGTTCCCCACCCCTGCCTCAGACAGTCTGCCAAACAAATCGCTCCTGCTGCCTCCTGGCCAGTGTGGCTCAGTGGGTTGAGCTCTGGCCCATGCACCAAGAGGTCACGGGTTCAATTCCCGGTCGGGGCACATGCCTGGGTTGCCCACTCAGTCTCCAATAGGGGGTGTGCAGGAGGCAGCCGATCGATGTTCTTCTTGCATAGATGTTTCTATCTCTCTCTCCCTCTCCCTTTCTCTCTCTCTCTAAAATTGATAAAAAGATAT